CCAGCCGCGCATGCGCACAAAGGGGGCGGAGCGTGAGGGTTCTGGGGTTGATTTCACGGTCCTGAGGCGCCACAGATCTTGGATTTTCACGCCGTTTGCTCAGGGTTAGTCCCTCTAGTCCCCTAAAATGACTGTGAATAGAAAAAATAAAACATATACAGTATATATTTTATAATCTGGAAAATCTGGCAAAATCAGCAAGGGGTCAAATACTTATTTCCCCCACTGTATTCTATAAAAAAAGCAAAAAGGGCTGATTGATCCGGATGATTTCAAGGTTCTGAGACGCCACAGATCTTGGATTTTCACGCCGTTTGCTCAGGGTTAGTCTCTCTAGTCCCCTAAAATGACTGTGAATAGATAAAATAAAACACAAACAGTATGTATTCTATAAAAAAGCACAAAGGGGTGATTGATCCGGCTCATTTCACGGTCCTGAGGCGACACAGATCTTGGATTTTCACGCCGTTTGCTCAGAGTTTAGTCCCTCTAGTCCTCTTAAAGTACTGTGAATAGAAAAAATAAAACATATACAGTATACACAGTGGGGGAAATAAGTATTTGACCCCTTGCTGATTTTGCAGGTTTGCCCACTTACAAAGAATGCTTATTTTTCCTCATCAGATGGTTATCAATTTTTATAAATTCATATGATGTGATTTTCTGGAATTTTCTTTGGGATTCTGTCTTTCACTGTTAGAATGTACATATGATTAAAGTTAGCAAAGCTAGTAAAAGAATTGTGGCAAATTCTGACCAATGGCTGCTCTTGGTGTCCCAAATGAAAATGGATAAGTGACCTTTGGGTGTTAAATCACTAACCCTGACCTGATCAGTGGTGCGTTCAAGGACCCTCCGACCTGATGAGATGGTTCAGGAATCTGTTTAGGCCGCCGTCCTGGTGTCCCAGGGGAGGCGTTTTCCTCTTTGTGGTTAAGTCGAGGCAGAAGGAGGCCTCAGACCCACAAGAGAGATGATTTATTATGTATTATTATTATGGGGGAGAGGTCTGGGGTCTCCAAACCGGCCTGAAACAGCCGGAAAAATCAAATGGATGGCATTGAAATCCCCCTTTTTTTTCTTCTTACAAGCAATAACAGAGATTAAACTAAACAAAAACTAATCCCGTGCAGCAGAGGAACGAGAATTTATTTTAAAAAGCTGGAGTACAGTAGAGATTTAACAATGAAAAGTATTACAAATGTAAAAAAAAAAATCTACGTGTTTCAATTGAAGTCACATAAAATGGCCGATTTAATCCAAATCTGTTGGTAAAGAAAAATAAATTGAACACACAAGGAGAAAAACGCACAAATAAATGGGAGATCTCGGTCGTCATTTCCCCTTTAATTAATAAAAATCTGACAGGAAGTCATTGGAAATGACTGAACCAGCTCAAACTGGTCAAACTGGGATTTCTCTACTGGACTAAAGCTGCTTTTCCCAGAAAAAAAAAAGACGGTTCACCTCTGGACTCTGATACAGACAGAGAAAGTCAGGCTCAGATTTAAATTAATCTGCATTGTAATAATCCGGTTTAACATCCAACCGCTCATGTCTCAGAGCTACCACAAGGGGGCGATAATGTCTTTAGATAAGGTGATCAAGTCTAGAAAATACTCTTTATTTGGCATAATTGTCTTTATTGAGTTTAATGTGCGATTATCAAACAGGAAACAGAAAAAATCTCAGTTCATTTTCTGTCCAGCCATCCCTTTAAATCAGTCTGGTACATATTCCAGACTCCCTATTTAAGATGTGGTTGAGGATTTTAAAAAATTCTCCATTTATTTTAAAACAACATAGAACCCAAATGCAAAAAAAAGAGAAACATTTAACCTTTTATCTAAGTGCATTCGTTTGGTGCTAAAAGATTAAATCATACATTTAGAAAATAAAAAAATATGAAATCACCCCTAACAGTTATGTTGAAAAATGTAATTGATTTCCTTTAAATATATTTTTCTGTAGTTTCTAAAGTTGGTCAGGGTATCTAGGAACTTTTAATTAGTAATTCCTTACTTCCTGTTTCCCTGGAGTATAAATATGACGTGAGGATTTCACGTTTTTTATTTTCTAAACGTGTGATTTTATTTTTACCACCAAAGTAATGTACTTAAATAAAAGGTTAGATTTTTCTCTTTTTTTTCATTTGGGTTTTATGTTGTTTTTTTTTAAAAGAGACTTTTTAGAAGTCCTCAACCACATCATAAACAGGGGTGCCAATAACTGTGGAGGGCTCTGTAAATGATCGGTTTTGCTGTTTCAGATGTTGTTCTGCATCTTATCGCCCATATTTGTCTTTTCTTTGTTGTTCTTCTCAGGCACATCCTTTCTGTGTCCCTTTGTTTACTTCATGGAGGTTAGCTGGGGCTGATTTCTGGTGATTTCTGCTCATTATGGATTTAATTTGTTGAGCATTTGCTAAGGTGTTCGCCTTTTGTTTGAATCTTTCAGTCATTGTTACAGAGCTATGCTCACTTACTTTCTATATTTTCTATATTTTCTTTGAGAAACTGAAATAATGACCAGTGTTCAATGAGTATCATGTCAAGATTCTGATAAAAACTTTGTGTTTTGAGTTAATTAGTGATGGAAAAAAA